AAAATAATTGTTCTCTTCTTTTCCTTCTAATGTTCAAAATATTAAAACCAATTTGGGTAATGGGTCAAATCAAATTGTGGATGAAATTAATTTAAATTGGGTATGGTCCATCTAAGCTTATGTGGCACTATAATTAGATTTTTTAATTAAATTTAATGCCATGTCATATTTTTATAGGATATTTTATAGGTTTTGAACTAGAACGACTTTTAAGTTACAAAGGTAAAATTGAGTGACTTTTAAGTGATGAAAAATAAATAAGTGACTTTTGTGAAATAAATGATAAGTTGTACGTAACCCGACAAATAATGTATAGTCGTGTCTTCCCCAGAGCGTCTTTAAATGTGATTTACAGTATAATAAGATCAATTTACCGTAGCTGCAAATTTATGTCTTCTAACTATTTAATGTATGAATGAGATTTACTATGAAAATACAAATCTTCTTTATCAACGGGCAAGTTTGAGAAAAAGAGACACAAATCCAAGATAAAACTTAAATGACATTAAGAAACTGAAAATTAGCATTTTCTCAAATATTTTACTGTTATACTTGTACATATTAGTATATCTCACTTTTTGCACCTTTGATTTCAAATTGAGATGATCTGAAATAACTATACTAACTTGAAACATCTTCAGCCCCCAATCCTTATATTAACCAGTATTGGAGCATTAAAATTTTGAGACAATTTCAATCTAACATCCGCATTTCAACTTAGTTTATCTGGAATCTGCTGTTTCAAATTAAATGCCCATTCAATCAATTACCAAACAGAAAAAAGTACTTGACTCATAGAGGAGATGGCTGAGAAAGCAAAGGGAATAGGAAGACGATTGTCACCACTAGAACTTGATGAGATGGTTAATTATGTAAAGTGGCTAGATATTTGTAAAGTGGTTAGTTAGTTAGTTAATTTGTAAAGAGGCTATCTTAGCTATTCATTTTAGTTAGACAAGTTTATATATATTGTTAATACAAATATCAAATAAAGTTGGTCGGTTCATTCCAGATATTTTTTTTTTCTCTCTTCGTTATGCATTCTCTCTATCTCTCTGACCTCCATTGTTGCTCGTCTCAAGCTTGAGCGAGGTGAGGGCGTGTGTAATCAACATGGTATCCGAGCCCGACCACTCCATTACGATTATCTCCTCTATTCATTATCTCCTTGATTTTGCCCTAATCGGTTCGATTCCTACGGTCAGTTTCATTTTGCCCTAATTCGAGTGCCTAAGCAGGGGCTTCTTCTTCTAACAGTGTAATACTAGCATAACTAGTTTCAATTACTCATGGTTGTGGACGATTTGAGCGATGTAGCTAGTACAGCAGTGAATGTCGGAGTTCAAGGAAATTCCGGAATCAATCCAAGCGATCCTTTGTATTTGCACCCGTCGGATAATCCTGGTGCTATGCTTGTGTCAACTCCTTTCAGTGGAGTTGGTTATCGATCATGAAGGCGGAGTATATTGCGAGGTTATCGGTTAAAAATAAACTAGGGTTTATATATGGTGAATGCAAGCGTCCAGACCCCCACTCGTCCACATTTCGTCAGTGGGAGCGATGTGATGACATGGTGACCTCCTGGATCCTCAATTCTCTCTCGAAGGACATTGCAGATAGTGTTGAATATGCGAATGATATTGTGGAGTTATGGATTGAGTTAGAAGATCGATATGAGCAAACAAATGGAGCTAGATTGTATCAAATCCAAAAGGAAATAAATGATGCATCTCAGGGAACCCTTGATATCACCAGCTACTACACTAAATTGAAAAGGCTTTGGGAAGAATTGAGCACTTTGAGTAAAAGGTCTTAGTGCAGCTGTAATTGTACTTGTGGTGCCAAGGAAAACTTCTACAAAGCTGAACAGGATAGGCGGCTAATACAATTCTTCATGGATTTGAACGAGACATACACTGTAATTCGAGGAAGCATTCTCATGATGAACCCATTACCAACATTAACTCAAGTTGTTTCCTTGCTGATACAAGACGAGAAACAGAGAGAAATCAAACCAAACACTCAACTGTTTATTGAGTCCACATCATTGAATGCCACCAACTCTAGGTCCAACACCTACAGGACCAATTACTCACCCAACAATGGCAACCACGGTGGTTATGGAAGGGGAAGGCCCATGTGTGACTACTGCAAGAAGCCAGAGTACACTAAGGACAAGTGCTATAAACTACACGGCTACCCCGACAATTCTGTATATTCACGCAATCAAAAATAAAATCCCAATCAAAGCTTCAATCAAAATCAAGGTTTCAACCGAAATCAGAGTTTTAACAAAGGAAAAAAGGGTGGTGAACTCCTGACACATCCTGCAACAAGGTAGAGGAAGCTAACGACCTGACTGAAGATCAAAACATCAGTTTATCAAAGGAGCAATATGGACAGATCATGAATCTGCTGCAACACTTTCAATCTGGGAATGGAGGAGAACATGTAAATGCTGCCAATTCTATCAATGGAGTTGTGAACTTTCAGGTATAGTAGTCTGCACTTCCTCTATAGATTTTGGTAAATTGTCCTGTAAGTGTTTCAAAAATAAGACTGATTCCTGGATACTAGACTCAGGGGCTTCAAATAACATGACCTTTAATAAGTTCCTACTTACTAACATTGTGACATTACATTGTCCACTCCTAGTTGTCCTCCCAAATAGCTATAAAGTAAAAGTAACAGAAATTGGCAGTGCAACACATGTGCCTGACATCACCCTACATAAAGTAATGTTTATACCCTCATTCAAATACAATCTAATTTCCATTCACTGTCTAGCTAGTTCCAACCCCAAGAGCATAGTAGCTTTCACTAATCATCTTTGCATTCTACAGCCCCTTCAATGAAGAGGCCTCTGGAGATTGGTAAGGCTTGTGATGGTCTATACTTTCTTTGCCCAAAGTGTTTGAGAAACAAGTACTCGGGTTCTGTAGTCAATAATTCAGTGTCTTGTCTTGATAATGGGACTCACTGCACACACAACTCACTCTTCACGGTCATTCATTTTTATATAGTTCAATTTCCACAAATAAGTGTGTATCTTTCCCCTTTGTAAATAGTTCAAGTTCAAGCAATAAAAATCAGAGTCATAATCTGAATTCTAGTGCATCCACTGGTTATGATATGAATATTTTGTGGCATAATAGGCTAGGGCATGTACCCTTTGTCAAAATGAGAGGGATCTCCTCTATCCATGTCCCTTTTCAATCCAAACAACCTTTTCTCTGTTCCATCTGTCCAATGGCTAGACAAGAGAGACTACCATTTCCCCAAACCAATTTCACCACTGAAATTTTCCAATTACTCCATATAGACATATGGAGACCTTATCATGTGGCAACACATGATAATTATAAATACTTTCTTACAATGGTAGATGATTAAAGTAGGTGCACCTGGACCAATCTTCTAACCTGGAAAAGCAATGCACTACAGGTTATAAAAACCTTTGTTTCCATGGTTGAAACTCAATTCAACACCAAAATCAAAACTATTAGATCTGACAATGGCTCATAATTTACCAGTACAGAAGCAAACATGTATTTCCAATCCAAAGGCATTATTCATCATAGGAGATGCCCTTACACACCACAACAAAATGGCATAGTAGAAAGAAAACATAAATATCTCCTAGAAACTGCCAGGGCACTCTTGTTTCAATCTAAATTACTTGTGAAGTACTGGGTGAATTTATTTTGTGTGCAACTTACATCATAAATAGACTACCTTCTTCCCATAGTCACCCTAAATCCCCATTTGAGTTACTTTACAAAAGAAAACCAACATACTCCCACATGAAAAGCTTTGGATGCTTGTGTTACCCTTATGTACCAAAGATGCATAGGGACAAATTTGAACCTAGAACATCACCACACATATTCATTGATTATCCCTATGGAGTCAAGGGGTACAAGGTCTTAAGTCTTGCCACTAAAAAGATACATGTCTCCAGGGATGTTGTCTTTATTGAAAGTGTGTTTCCCTTCACTCTATCATCTGAAAATACATATTTTCCTTCTGTTTTTAATCCTGCCCATTTCATTGATCACACTCCTAAGGATGATAAACATCTTTGTGATAGTGATGATGGCACAAGTGTTACACACAATCAACCTTTAGAGTATGATACTCCTTTATTACCTGTGAGATCCTCCAGGTTAACTGAATCTTCCACCTCCTCACCACAATCTAATACACCACAGTCTTCCAGTCAAAGCACATCAACAGTTGGTTATCAACCAGGCCCCACATCCATTACCTTAAAGAAATCACAAAGACCTCACAGAACACCACTATACTTACAAGACTATCTACACTCACTTCCAAAATTAAAATCAGCATCACTTATTGCTCACAATAATTCAACTATACCATTTTCTCTCAATGCTTTATTTTCTAAAAATCATCATGTCTCCCTTAATGCTCTAAATCCTGAGAGCCAAAGTCTAGTAAGAGACATTTGCAGTGACAGTGAGCCCTCATCATATGAGGGGGCAGCTATGAACCCTGCCTGGCAAACAGCTATGAACCAAGAGTTTGAAGCATTACATGCCAACCACACATGGGACCTAGTGCCCTTACCTGTTGGGAAGAAAACTATAGGGTGCAAATGGGTGTATAAGATAAAACATAAAACAGATGGAAGTGTAGAAAGACTGAAAGCTAGGTTGGTTGTGAAGGGATATACCCAACAAGCAGGCATTGATTATACAGAGACATTCTCTCATGTAGTCAAGATGACAACTGTGAGGTCCCTGATAGCTGTTGCTGTAAAGAAGGGGTGGCATATATCCCAGTTGGATGTAAATAATGCATTCCTACATGGGGACTTAAATGAGGAAGTCTACATGAAGATTCCACAGGGCCCGGCTGTAGATAGTTCAAAGTTGGTTTGCAAGCTCAACAAATCCCTTTATGGGCTGAAACAAGCCAGTAGGCAGTGATATGCTAAGCTCACTGAAGCCTTATGTTCAAGGGGTTATGCACACTCTATGTATGACTACTCTTTGTTTTACAAGAAAACTGAAAACTCAAATGTCTATATAGCAGTGTATGTAGATGACATTGTGGTGACAGGAACTGACACAATGGAAATTGAAGACTTGAAGGTGTTTCTAAATGACAGCTTCAAGATAAAAGATCTGGGCAGGCTACACTACTTCCTGGATTTAGAGGTTCTTTACAAGGATGATGGTGTGATAATATCTCAGAGGAAGTTCACCCTTGCTCAAAGAGTATCAGTGCATGGACTACAACAGCTTTACTTCACCACTAGACCCAACAGTCAAGCTCAAGGCAAAAGAGGGTATGGCTTTGACAGACCCTACTTACTATAGGAAACTAGTGGGGAAGCTCAATTTCCTCACCAATACTAGATTGGACATAGCCTACAGTGTACAAAATCTGAGCCAATTCATGGATGACCCCAAACAACCTCGCTTGAAAGTAGCCTTTCATCTACTTAGATATTTGAAAGGAGATCCAATCCTGGGGATATTCATGTCTAAAGATACAGATTATACTATCAGGGCCTACTGTAATTCTGACTGGGCAGCATGCCCAGATTCCCGGAAATCTGTAAGTAGCTATCTTGTATTATTGGGCAGCAATCCTGTTAGCTGGAAATCCAAGAAGCAGGACACCATTTCATTGTCTTTTGCAGAAGCAGAGTATAGAGCTCTAAGAAAGGTAGTGGGGGAATTGGTGTGGCTTAGTACACTGTTTGAAGAACTTACAGTTCCTTTCCCCAAGCCCATTGCGGTGTTCTGTGATAGCCAGTCTGCCATGCACATAGCAAGGAACCCAGTGTTCCATGAAAGAACCAAACATATAGAGGTGGATTGTCAGTTTGTGAGAAGTAAGCGGGGCTGATTTCACTGCATCATGTAGGAACTACAGACCAGCTTGAAGATGTTCTAACAAAAGCACTAACAAGAGTCAAACATTCAACAGTTTGCACAAGTTGGCAGTGTTTTCCACACCACCAACTTGAGGGGGGTGTTGAGATGGTTAATTATGTAAAGTGACTAGATACTTGTAAAGTGGTTAGTTAGTTAATTTGTAAAGAGGCTATCTTAGCCATTCATTTTAGTTAGGCAAGTTTGTATATATTGTTAATACACATCAAATAAAGTTGGTTGGTTCATTCCAGATATTTTCTTTCTCTCTCCGTTATGCATTCTCTCTATCTCGCTGACCTCCATTGTTGCTCGTCTCAAGCTTGAGCGAGGTGTGGGCGTGTGTAATCAACAGAACTAAACACATATTGACAATATGCATTTTTCCCTTCCAATATCCATCCACACGGCGATGGTGAAAAAAGAAAGCTGAAAAGACACCTTTCATTGCGAGGTGTGGGCGTGTGTAATCAACAGAACTAAACACATATTGACAATATGCATTTTTCCCTTCCAATATCCATCCACACGGCGATGGTGAAAAAAGAAAGCTGAAAAGACACCTTTCATTACGAGGTGTGGGCGTGTGTAATCAACAGAACTAAACACATATTGACAATATGCATTTTTCCCTTCCAATATCCATCCACACGGCGATGGTGAAAAAAGAAAGCTGAAAAGACACCTTTCATTGTTTCAACTCCCAGTTCAATAAATAATTTCCCTCCTAGAAGCTGTTAAGCGATCAGTCAATCTTCTTAAACCATTGACATCTAGGGTTATATAAGGGCCAACTTTTATCAAATACAAACTAAAGTGCTACGAACAGCCTCACTAACCAGGGAAGCGGTGTTCTCATCAGCAACGGTTATCATGGTTCGTGTTGATGTAACCTCTATCAAGGCTTCATTGGGCTCTGAGATGCATACAATTGATGCATTTTCTGATCCATTAGTAATCTGGGCATGCTGTGCAGTTGCTTTCATCCCCATCTTCGTTAGAGCCATCAGAAGGGAGTTCACGTCAACTCTACCCAGAAATAACAATGGCTTGTCTTGTGAAGAAAGCACTTGCTTATTTCCAATAACTAATTGATGTTTTCCCTGCTCAACGAGCAACTCTCCCTTTAATCTTACAATATTATTTTCTTGTATTACTTTTGTATAATTGAGCAGCTCGGGAGCCAAGTCCATGGCAATGTACATATCTGCATAATTTTTCAACTTAGGTATAACTACAGTTTCATTTTCAGAGAAATAACTGACTGAAATTGTGGGGTTCCAACAGCTAATATGGGGCCTCAAACCCTCAGGAACCTGAAATAAGCAAAAGAGGCAGCAGTTGAGACAGCATGAATGACAGTTCAGTATCTTGGAGCAGAAAATTTGGGGTTGGGGTTTCGGGGTGGGAAAGGGTCGAGGGGAGAGAGAGAGAGAGGCTACCAGCACATGTTTAGGTTGTAGTATCTTTAGTAAAGGTATAGCTCTCTTTAGCCTGCAAAATAGAAAATGAAGTTTGTATTTGTAATGACTAGAAGCCAGAATGGTAATTAAAGAGCTACGAATTTGTAGTAATTGAAATAGAAAGAGAAAATAATGTCTCTTGTGTGAACTTAATAATTAAGACTGAAGAAAATGACTAAACCGCTATGCGGCCTCACCGGCGTCCTTTAAATGAGAAATAGAACTCATAAAAGTTACTACTTTATTTTCTTCACTGGATACAAACAACTAACACTTAATTGAGGAGGGATTTTATTTGGGAGAGTAATGCTGATTACAGAAAAGGAGTCTTAGCCTCTGTAACAGGTGTTTTTTATATGAATGCTCTTTTGAAACTGTTAAATCATTTGCTGCTGCATTGCAACCAAACATGGGGGATATGGTCCCTATTCCTAAACATCTTTGATGTTCATTAGGTGATCCAGAAAGCTTCAAAGATTTACTACACTGCTGGCAAGGTCAAAGAACGGAAAGAAGACTGGAGAAGATCTGGAGATCAATTCCTTTATGTATCATATGGACAGTGTGGCATGAGAGAAACAGAAGATGTTTTGAAGGAAGAAAGGAGATGATTGCCTCTCAAAAATTCAGATGTTTGCCAAATTTGTTTTGCTGGCATAGAGAAAATACTGTGATTAATATGTCTGATTTGGATTCTGTTTTTATGTAGCAGATGATGTAATCTTGAACTCTGTAACCTTTTGCTGTACCCTTGCTGCTTTATCAATAAAACACTTTACCTTATCAAAAACAAAACACTTAAAGGGGGCATGGTTTGTAAACTATCCAAGAGCACAGCCTTGAGCATCTACTGGGTTCTTCTCTAATTCTCAAAACTCGCCTATAAAGTGTAAACTACCTAGAAAAGATAATCAATCATATGGTAAGCAGCCATGTGACTTTAGATCAAACATTGTGGACCCTTTCCAAGAAGCATCTTGTACTTTTCTTTTTTTCTAAGGCACCTCTTAATCCTAGTTCTTGCAAATTCAGCGAACTCCAACAGAAAACCTATAGAGCACCAAAAGGATAAAGAGCTAAAAGCCAGACAGGCGCTGTCTGTTTCACATGAGATAGAGGATCAAAAAGAGTTTGCTTACTTTATTCCAGAGATGAACGAACATTGAAGGACCTTCATTGACATTGGCTTGAAAGGCAAAATAGCCAAATTGATATCAGCTCCTTCCTGTGAAATGTGAAACATTGACCTCAATAATATAGTCAAGCTTGACATTAGTCATACAACCAGATACACGAGATTTGTGAATGTGAAAAGTCATATAGCAGGCCTGCACCTCCATAATAAGCAACGAGTTAGGATCGGCACACCAACGTTGAAGGAGATGAACAACAGGGCCAAGTCGCAAACTCCAGTGAGGACAAAATGCTATGCAAGGTTCCTGCCAACTTGTTCTGAGCATGTAATATTAGACTAGGCCAATGATGTTGATGGTAACAGCAGCTCCAAAAACATTTCTTTTCTTTTCTTTTCTTTTCTTTTTTTCATAACCAAAGACAACAGTGAAGTCAAAAGATGTAAAAGGATAGAAAGAGTGTAACAAAGCCAAAATAGCATCTAAAGTAAGGTTATTAAGCAGGTTACTATGCTCATTTTTTGTAGCTTATATTTCGACATGAGGAGACAGAATATATCTTACAGGAATTTCAATGAATGAATTGCTGGAGATACCAAGAGCTTTTTCTCCTTTGACAGCTGAATATGAGTAAATAGAGGTTGCCCAGAATAGAGCTGTGGATCCACACATAAAAAAAAAGAAACGGATTATATCTACTTGCTCAGCTTTCTGTTTTAACAGCAAAAAGATTAAATCCACAAGATTCATAGTGATGATCAGTTAATGTAGTACTCTTTCTTGACGTTGACTGGACAGCCATTCAGGTATGATATTGGAAAATGCCAATAACTCTTCTGCTGCAGAAGAAACAAAATATATAGGAACCTACACAGCATAAAAACACCCAGTTTCAATACATAAAAAACATATTTCAGCTGAAGCAAATTTAGGTATCCGCAACTAAGTGTACTAAAATTAGATATGAAAGGAAGCAAAACTTGAGAATTGGAAGATTCTTGTCCATGTGTATTGATCAGAGATGGATTCAAAATATAACTTTAATAACAGATGGCAATAGTCCACGATTGTGTATAATATCTTGGAAACAAGAATATCTCGATGTTCATTCCTTCCTACCATCAGGATTACAATTAGTATAACTATGAATTTATATCTCCAACAGCAATACCAACAAACAGCATTGGAAGGGATGGGGGGAAATGCTATTGATCTCTCGTCACTGAAAGTATACTCAAGTTTCATACCGATCGAAAAAGAAGTATACTCATGTTTCAGTAAATTCCTGGAAATCCTTGAATTTTCCGAGTAAATGAAGAGTCAAATTCTAATAAATTATGAAGATGAAGATGAAGATGAAGAGAAGAGAAGAGAAGAGAGAAAAGCTTTGTTTGAACTTGTAAGTATTTGGCTAACAATATAAGTACTCATTATATAGGAGTTTTGAGCTACATGAAATAAAGGCAAGTTTCCTAACTCTTGAGATTCTTTCTTTGATTGTTTCCTAACACTTGAGATTCTTAATTATGAAACAATGATTAAGATAGCGTACACTTGATTAACATAATTATTAAGAATATTCTATATTATTCTTAAAGATTCTCTTCAACACGCTCCCAAATTCAAAATAGAAAAATAACTGAAGTTTGTATATTTCAAAAACAAGAACATTCAAAAAGAATTACTGGAGTAGCAAATAATTGTCTGAATAGCTTATTGTGTAGCCGAATAATGAACAGTCATCGGAAAGAATAAACGTGCTGAAAATCTTTCCACAGGATGTTTACTTACCTAGGATCATAATACAGAGATTGCTATGAGATGAATCACAATACACCACAAAAAATGTGAACTCAAAAATTAAATAAATCTTTAATACTGTATATAATACCCTCATGATTTAATATTCTTATAAAATATTTTATTTTTATATACTAAAGCAAGTCGCCTTTCTTTAAGAGTATTTTTTAAATTTTAGGTGATCATATCCAGGTAACGTGTTGAATACATGTGCAATTTTTACACCATACCTTCAAATTTGAAGATTCTAGCGAAAGTGATACATGTTCCAATAGCTTCAACATGACTCCAGGCCGTCCAATGGGAATAAGGACTGACCCTCCGTCATTAACAGAGTCCAAAGCACATGAACATATAAAAGATACTTTTTCCATCTCTTCTGAGTACTCATCTGAATCAAGCCAGGACTCGGTTATTGTTTCCCAACAACTACCAGTATCACTGCACATGTTCCAAGTTTTAAAGCTCATTACTTCCCCTTCCAGAAAATATGTAAATGATACGGAGGAAGATGAATAAAGCATGAATCAGAAGATGGATGGAGAACAAGAGAAGATAACCTTTAAAGGGAAAAAAATGCATAGCCATAAAATAGTATCTCACCTATGCATGCCGGACAGCTTCAGTTATATGTATAATATTCCAGAATAATACAAAAGGAATGTACCTTGGATAGGAACTGGCAGTAGCAGGAGGGAAATCATTCTTTTCACTATCAACATCATTGCAGGCTGTGAAGTCTGAATATAATAGAACATCACTTCCTTCAAGAGCTTGGTAATCAAAACTGGAAGCAGTTGTCGATGCAAAAACTGAGCCAGAAAGATAAGTGATGCTTCCTTTTGGACTTAGGATATTCCAATTACAAGCACCTATCTCCAAACCAGAGCTGAACGCTTTTATGGTCAATGTGCCATTATAGCAGGCTTCTTCAGCATACTTAAGGGATTGAACCTTCTCCATGCAACCCTTGATATCAGCTGCACTGAAAATTTCCCATCACTTTTGCAGATCATATAAAGATCAACCCATAACAAACACAGAGCTTCAAAGTATCTGCTTCATTTTTCATTTTCGACTACTGGCTAGGTGAACCAGGGTCCTTTTCTTTAAGACTGTGGGATGAATAGTCAAATTCTGTAAAAAAAACTTCTAAATGTCAATTTCCAAGTCAGTAAGTTTGTAACTGAAAAAAATGCATCCACGTGTCTCAGTATTGGTACTGAGAAGGAACTGACTCCTATATAGTTCCACTCCCATCCCAAATTGAAAGTCTTCACTATTTTCATGTCTCAGTAATGTCCACTCCGTTGAGCAGATATCTCATTTGCAAAAGCACAACTCCTCACAACTTCATAGAAATCATAACAGACTACTGGCTTAAACCAGTAAATTTAATATAGAATGAAAGTAGCATATGTTTATATTGGTGAAAAGAATTCTGAGACACCTGCAATCATGTGTTCTCAATTTCTTACGGTACATTATTTCTATGTTTCTGTATCAAGTAGAACATTTACATCCAAGTCCATCCTACAAAAAGGCACAACAGGCATCTAAAAACTTAGGCATAAGTAGCAGAGTAATATCTAGTAAGTAAACACACTAATTGACGAAAGCAAACCACAAGAAACATGACAAAAACAGATCTTTCTATCAAATGAAATAAGAAGTGTTACCTGTATATGGGCATCCATCCACCAAGTTCTGTCCCTTTACTGCCTAAAACAATATCCTTTAGTGCCATAGGTAGTAGTTCAAGCTTTTCCCATATCATCCATTGAGGGCAACCAGACTCTTCAGGTCCATAAAATTGTCTCAACTCCATATGCATGAAAACAAGGTCCTCCATCATCAGTTTCCCTAGTCTGGAAGCTGCTTCCGTTACATATACCTGATGAGATAACCACATTATAAGAAATTCACCAGCATAAGGTTAATTCTATTTATAAATGCAAGAAAATATCCCTTCCATCACCTTCGATCTAAAATCTTTGAGGCGGGTAAGAAATGGTAACCCTAGCATACCCATCGGACTTGAGATTAGTATCACATCTATGGAATAAATACTCCAAAGCTGCAAGCTTTTCACAGTTTTGTACCAAGGCTCAGCCTGTATCAAACTTTTGGAATCAAGAAACTCCCCAACTTCCCGTCTTACAGACTCTGAATTTGATGAACTTTGGCCACTAACATTTGAAGTTTTTTCATCAAGCAGAGAAGATGTAACAATTGGTAGGGGAGAGAAGACCGCGAGTGCTGAAAGGTCCAAAGGGCAGTCAAATAACACCCGGAAGCCACTTATATTGACTATGTGGCATGGTGGGAAATAATAGCCCCTGCCCTCACTTAAACATGTCTGCAAATATTGGAATCCATGAATACATGATGTTAGTATGTACTCCAAAAATATGCACGCAAGCAAATATGCAGAGAAGGGAAGAGACTTACAAACTTCATGGTACGGAAGAGTGCTAGAAGTTTCTCGCCAACCAGAATCTCATACTGTTCCAAGGATACCAGCCTACAAAATAAATACATAATAGTAAAAGCAACTTAAAAAAAGCAAATCAGTAGTATAAAAAGAGTAGTATGAAGCAGTGGCAGCTCATGATTCCAGGAACAGGTCAGTTCAAAATCAAGAACAGCATAAAAACTACATGAAAGCAGCAATATGGATCTTTAGTTTTAACTCTACGGGGTTGGGCAAAGCTACTGCTTTAGTGGTCTCCTCGCACCCAACAGTATAGACTGGAAAATTGCAGATATAAGCAACCAGTCGGACCAAAAATCTAAACAATAAGATCACTTCCTTCACAACACTGATCTCATGCAGCAAGTATCCTGGTTTTTTCTATCTTTTGTTGCTGTTGTAATGCCTCTTGAGTCCATGTTTTCACTCTTTTTCCAGTTTTTCTCTTTTTTTTCTTTTGGATCAGTAAAGTCGACGTTTTCACTTGAATTTTGAGTCCAGATTTTCTTTTCTCTTCTTTTTTCTTCTCTTAATTGGCTAATTGGTAATTGCCTATTTTGGACTGCATCATATAACCTCTCAAGGAGTAAACTCATACAAGAAAAATATTTTCTGCCTTGCAGTTTATCACTCCTTTAAACCTAAACGAGAGCTTTAAATCAAAGACCAAGGAGGAGAATACTCCAGGCAAAGGGAAACGCCAAGATTTAAAGAAAAAGATTTAACAAGACTACAACTGGAGAGGACAAATGTATCATTTTCGAAAGTGACTTTACTAATTTACTAGAACAATAGTCATCACAAAACACCAAGAATTTCCTCTAGCGACATGACAACTTAAATTAGCTCACTTCAAACTGCATTAGAGAATGATATAATCAGAAGCCTTTAGCAGAGAAAAAAAATGCTTAGCCGAAAATGCTTAGGCTCTCATTATTTCATGTCATTTTTCAGTAAAAATTACAACATTTATCTTTTTTTACTTTTCCCATCAAAAGAATTACTATACCATTTTCAGCTTGTAAGTAAAATTTCTTAACTGTAACTTTACATGTAAATAATTTACCTTCCACAATTTTAAATCCAGAACAAATCGTACTACATGATGGATATCAAAGAAGTTCAGAAATGATAAACAAAAATGGTCCTTTAGCAAGGAAATGAAAACTCTACTATTGTTTTCAAAAAGCTAATTCCTTTATTTTCCTTTTTTCCATGAATATATTCAATAAAACTTGATTAGTAATACGAAGATAAGAAGCAGATAAAAAACGCCAAACTTCGAAGCGAATATAAGTAAGAATGCAAATTGACTAGTAAAAATCATGAAGTATGAAAAATAAGCTTAGGCTTCCATTATACAGAGGATAGAAAAATCAAAAGGAAAAGGGTTTAGGGTTTAAGATTTATGTCATATGAGAATCGCAGAGAATGAAAGGAAACTCACAACTTGATTTCGCCGGAGAAAGCAGTGATGGTTAGCCGTACAAATTATAGAAAAGAGGAAATCGCAAAAGGGAGAGAATGCTCAAGATATTTATGCTCAATGGAAACCAGGTTCAGTACTTTATTTTCTTTGGCCGGTAATTTTGAGTACTTATGTAAAGGGGCGGGAGATCTCTGTGTTGTGATTTTATGCGCGTTTTGATATCACAGTTAATTTAAACAGTTCTAGTGTGTAAAGGTTTAAGGATCAAAAGTGTTTACAATGCTTTTTTTCGAAAACAATTATTAAAAAATGATAATTAATATTAGCAAATCGGTTTGTGATATTTTTGAATATATAGATTGATAATAATGTCTAAGCTTTGATTAAAGCAGTGATTCAAAGTTAAAGAGTTGAGATAGGAAAATGACTTCCTTTCACATGGAAAGTCATTTTCCCCCTTTTGTGAAATATTTCTTTATGGAAATCAAACATAAAAAATAACTTATTATCTGGAAAACATTTTCTGTCAAATGCAGCCTATATCTCCTTTATTTGAAATTCAGAGCAAGAAATTGATTTTGGTTTTATGACAAGCATGTTCAATGTATCAAAATGTGCCCTTTGAGTTTATTCAGAAAGGTGACACCAAACTATATGTCTCATCTCCTTTTTTTCCTCTAACAATCTGGCTGTTCAAAGTTTGAAATTACAAATACATAAGCTACCATCTCACTTCTGAAAAACTTAGGAGGGATTTAATCCTAACAGGTCAGATAAATCATGTCTTAGTATTCTTAATGCTTGTTCCATATTACCAACTCTTTATTACGTCAAGCGTAACGATTTACTTCGAATTTTAAACACATTACAATTTGCAGTGTGATGAGCATTTTTCTTAGCACTAGTCAAAAGATGAAACAACATATTATATCATGAATCTAGTGCAAATACGCTTCTCAAATCCAATCTGAATGTCAACAAACTAGAAAAGACAGCCTGGGATAAGCAGAAATTGTAGCCGAAATCTGCAAAATCATGGACTTCAAAAATAGTAACTTCAAATGGAGCAAAATGTTGATAATTATTGGTGTTAGGAAAAATAAATACATCAGAAAATTGAGAGGGAGACCGAATCCGCCATTGAAGCCTCCAAAATCAGGCTACAACTGAACAAAAAGCAGAAGGGAAATGCAACCTTATCATTTCTTCTTTCCATCTATGTTTGAGCTCTATTCATATGTTGAGAAGTTCCGTCCCTATTTGATTTCTGCAGAATCCAGATGTGAGGCCGCCGCCAAACTCCGTAGCAGCATTCACCCCCATCTGAGTATAGCAGAACCCCACGTAAGGCCAGCCCCAAATCCAGCAGCAGCAATGACATGGCCTGCCTGCACTTTCCCACTTCGAACAGCTTCATCCAGTGCCAAAGGGATCGATGCAGCACTTGTATTGCCATAATTTGCTAAATTTGATATGACACGTTCTGATGGGACCTCCAAACGCGTTGCTACTCCATCAATAATCCTTTGGTTTGCCTGCATGTAACCATTCACAATAAGTTGCCTATATTAATGTGATACCTAGAGAGTATTTATTAAGTGGTGCAGGATGATAATTCCAAAAGGAGCATTAAGACACTTTCAGTGAATTATCTCAAGTTGTATTTCTACCATAAAATTGTAAGAAAATCTTTTAAAAATAATTGCTGGAATGAACATGCTTGGAGATTTTACCTATATTATCTTGAACATGAAATGAGTTTCTTTATCAATCAAACAATACAAACAAGCCAATAAAGCAATTGGATAATGAGAATATTGTGCATCATAAAAGATTAATCAAGGCTCAAGCTAATAAAGCAATCTGGAAATAACCATATTGTGCTTTTACTGAAATATGAGAGTTTACAGCTTTGTCAGCAAGCAGCTTATTCTTTTCTTTCTCACTTTACGTTTCGTTCTTTTCTCAACTATTTACTTCTTTCTTCTTCAATCAAAATACTCATTTTGTGGTATGTATACTTGTTATTTTGTCCTGCATTTCTCAGGCGTTAATACGCATCCAATAGCTTAGTAAAAAAACTCTAGCCCCAATCTCATGTACTTATTTGACAGGGTATAGAGTAATAGTAGAGCTAAATTTATGTGGTAATATAAGCAAAGGTTGATCCCTTAGCCACATACACTTTTGGACATGTTTTAGGTTTAATACGCGCAAAATGAATCCAATGTAATGATAGGAGCACTAAGCAGTAAGCATGACGTGCTTAATAGTAAGAAGTTGCAGGTCAAGATTTGTACTTTTTAAAATGTTTCATCACTGAGAACAAATAATTATATTTCAAGTTTACTGATTCTATTATTCTGTCACTTTTAGGGTTGATTCTTTGCTGAACTATCAGAACTCCTCCTTTTAACAACTACCCCTGGCCCCCTACAACATGATCTGGTCTGTTAGCATATCAAGGATAGTAACATAAAATATAAAACTAGAGGAGAGGAGGGCAATCACAAGTATCAATGCATATTGTCACTAGTCGTTTAAAAATGTATATTCATTCAGTCTAAAACATAATTGCTTCTAAAGAATGTCATCATTCCATATTTAGCCATTTAGGTATGACTGACTCAGTTGAGTTATCTATCCCAGAAAGTTATACCTGGTGGAGAAGCAGCCAATCAATTTTGGACCCAGGAAGACCTGCGTTCTCTAAAGCTGCTTCAATTGATTGTGGCACAACGCGAACAGCAAATCTAAAGACCTCTTTACCATTCATCTGGATGCAAGAGTAAGAGGAACCTTTTGGTGGAAAACCAATAACAGAACCATTTGTACCAAATACATGATCAGTTTCATTCTCTTTGATTGAAGCATTCAAGTGCCTAAATAAAAAAACTATCATTTAGTGCCCCTTTAAAGATGAAAGCAGGGGAACTTCTCCTAAAGATTATGATAAATACCTTTGACCTTCACCATCACTATGCAAGTCAAAACCAAATAAACCATCTTCTCCAATATCACAGGCCTACAAGAGTATGGATTTATATAAATTTTGAGAAATGGATATAGCAAATTAGCGTTGCACACAATAACTTGATCACATCAATAAAAGAAGAAACATGGCCTCAAAAATTTGGGTTAAACAAGAAGAAGACACAAGGTCACACCTCTTCGCTGAGGAAAAGCACTCATCAATCAATAGTGTAACGGGCATCTATGGGTTTTCTTTTTTTCCTTTTTTTTTTGTGAGAACGGCGAAGAGGAGCCTTGGCGTAACTAGTAAAGTTGCTGCCATGTGACCAGGAGGTCACGGGTTAGAGCCGTGGAAACAGCCTCTTGCAGAAATGCAGGGTGAGGCTGCGTACAATTGAACCTTATGGTCCGGCCCTTCCCCGGACCCCGCACATAGCGGGAGCTTAGTGCACCGGGCTGCCCTTTTTTTGTGAGAACGGCATCTACGTTGTCTTTTAAGATATGAAGTATATCAAAAGTATATAATTGCAAATAGCAAATAAGGTTAGATTGGTTGAAGACCCCAACCAGCTATGGATTTGCAAAGATTCAAGAGAAGTCTCTGTTCTTTCGTTGCTTAGCCACTCTCAAATCGGCATCAAGATGAAAAAGGTCAAACAGGCAAATAAGGAGCGGCATTATTGAGCCTATACTGATTCTTGCCTTCTGCAATCCATCTTATTGCACATATGACTAGGGGCCTGGGACACACCCATTGACAGTGACTAGGCTTGGGACACACCCATTGACGGTGAGTATGTTGAATCATTTTAAGATGAGTGCTAGGTTGGGGAACTAGTTCCAAATTGGCCATCTCAAACTTAATACCAGACCCAACTATACTGCAGACAATGGCATGAGAAATTGTTGGCTGACTGAGACCAACCCTGGGGAGGCACTCTCTACCCTATCTGTCTGACCTATAATATTCAACACATGGTCATCACGAACTGCTTACACCTACCAAACCATGGTTAACTGGATGAATTAAACTAAATAAGAGAGAAAAGGAGAAAAAGAAAATGAGTGACATCAACCCCCACCAACCAACGCCTGATCTCACTAGCGCAAAAAATGTAGGCACACACAGCCGCCAACTCGAAAGTTTGGCGCAACCAGCGCAAAGCACTGCCCTTATCCCCTCCTCTTTCTCCAAACAAAATAAAATTGTTTCTTACTCCACCATCGGCATTCTCTCCCCACATTTATGACACTCCTATCACTGCCACCAACCCCTCCCGTAATTCTTGGCAAGTTCAAGCTGTTCTGCTCCTCCTTGACTCTTCAACCTTTTTTTAGAACGGTACCATTTTTTTTTTTTGTGGTAATCCACTTACTACCAGCTGAGGTTTGAAAAATAACAGATCAAACAATCTTATAATCCAGCATCACAATTTCAGGAATTCCCTCTGCCCAATCACCCACTTTTAGAACTAGTATTCTCTTGGATACAAATAGAAGAAGTGTAAGTAAAAAGGTAGACTTGAGGTTTGCAGAAATGAAACTTTGTATTGTTGTAGCTATAGGTACGATATGGATGGGTTCTTTGGAGTAATTTCAGTCGCAACATGAAAGTTTGCAGAATGGACTACAGAGCATAAGGTTACAGATATAAATCTCAATTTCCTCTTTTCTTTTGCTAACCATGAATAGCACATAGCAATGTACCCACAAGACCCCGTAAGACTCGACTCTAAACTGCACACTGGGCAAGATTTTTCCATTGACAAGGAAGTTCATGTATATCTTTTGGGTGAATAATAGGCTGGAGTAGGTCCAAAAATCAGTCTTTCAAGAATAAGAAAATTTCAAAGTGGTTCGAAAAGCCAACGCATAGGAAATGGCTCATAGTAAAAGTTTTTAAAAAGAAAAAGGAGAGAATGAGAGACAACTCAGTAAAAAGCATAAATAAACTGACACTAAGAATAAACAATTTGAAGGCAGTTGATTATCTTATGATTACTCTAGAAGTATAATGTATGACACGAAGGAAGAGTAATTTCAACTGCTTAGCGCATAGCACCTACAACTCCCAAAATGCGAAAGCAAAACAAAGAAAACCAACTTCAACATATGAAAGAAAAAGCTCTACACATGTATCGTGTCAGAGTCCAGATGGCTACTTTTGTCGCCTTATACTTAGAAGTTTGCCCCTTTTCCAAATATGTGGTCTGATATTAGTTATCAATTTCAAACTTTAGACAA